CAGAATGTGTGTCGAGGAATACGACGAGGGGGTCCATGCATACTTTCGCCTAGAGAAGGAAGGGAAGGTAGAGAAATTCCTCCATTCCTTGACTTTTCTTGTCAAAGAGAATCTCCCGATTGATGTAGTTATGGGAACAGATTGTGGAGAGGCATCAGGAGCCACTTTTCACCTTAGAGAGCACGAGTGCAGGCTCCCTAGTCCGCCAGGCGAAGTTAAGCAAGTCCGCTTGTACCATGAGTCTGGGATAGATAATCCACTTGCACATTGCTGCATCAGCGCTCCTGCATTCGCTAGGCTTGTGCAAAAGGAGCAGCTCGACGAGCAGGTGTTTGTTGCCTATGTTAAGCGAGTTACAAATATTCCAAAGGAAGAAGAGAAAGTCCATCCCACTATTGCCAGCCTGCTGGAATAATACAAAGATTTGTCTAAGGCACCTTCAGAAATAGTTTTGAGGCCTATCCAACATCGTATAGAGAGAGAACCTAGCAGTAGAACGCCTAAGGGGGCAGTCTACAGAATGTCTCCAAAAGAGTTAGAGGAGCTTCGCAAGCAACTATACGAACTTCTCGAGAAAGGATGGATAACGCCCAGTTCATCTCCTTTCGGCGCACCTGATCTATTCGTCCCAAAGAAGGAGGGAGAGTTACGCATGTGCATAGACTATAGGGGTCTGAACGCCATAGCTATAAAGAATGCAGAGCCATTGGCCCGTATAGATGATCTCTTAGATCGGGTACAGGGTTGCAAGTACTTCTCAAAGATAGATCTCAAGTCAGGATATCATCAGATAGAAGTTCACCATGATCATTAGCACAAGACGGCGTTACGGACGGGATATGGGCATTATGAGTTTATAGTTATGCGCTTTGGAGGAAGTTTGGACTTACTAGCGCACCAGCCACATTTCATCGTTGTATGAATGATCATCTGTTTAGACCGTGGCTAGATAGATTTGTAGTAGTCTACTTAGATGACATCCTAGTATTCAGCAAAACCCTCGAGGAACATGAGGGCCATCTCAGGCAGATCTTGGAGAAGCTACGATAAGCTAACTTCAAGATCAACGCAATGAAGTGTGAATGGGCTAAGACCGAAGTCCTATACTTACGTCATGTGTTAGATGGAGACGGTATCCGCCCTGAGGACAACAAGATAGCATCTATTTGAGATTGGCCAACTCCTTGCACCTTGACAGAGTTGCGATCGTTTTTAGGATTGGCTAACTACTATAGGAAGTTCGTCAGGAACTTCTCCACTATAGCAACTCCCCTGCGCAGACGGCTAAAGAAAGAAGTTATTTGGCAGTGGGACCAAGATTGTACATTGGCCTTGAAGAAATTGACGAAGGCCATGATAGAGTACCCTGTCCTCAAAGTCGCAGATCCGTCACTTCCATTTGTCGTCACTATAGACGCTAGCCAGTATGGCATAGGTGCAGTTCTACAGCAAGACAACAACAATGGCTCTAGACCCGTAGAGTTCATGTCGGCCAGACTGCCCTCAGAAAAGGTAGCATCATCGACATATGAGAGGGAACTCTACGCTCTCAGGCAGGCCCTAAATCACTGGAGGCACTACCTGCTTGGGAGACACTTCAAAGTATATTCAGACCATGAGACTTTAAGGTGGTTGAAAACACAAGCCAAGATGACGCCCAAGTTGACTAGATGGGCTGCTGAGATAAACCAGTTTAAGTGCAACGTGGTACGTCCGATGCTCTGAGTAGAAGGGTGGATTACCTCGACGTGATAGTGCACTATCTAGATATAGGGGCAGATCTGCAGCAGAGGATAAGATATGCATATGCTCAGGATCCGATTTACAGCGAACTGTTGAAACGAGTGAAAGAAACCCCAGATAGCAAGCCGCACTATCGAACCACAAACGGGCTACTGTTTGAGAAGACCAATGTGGTTGACAGACTGTGCGTCTTCAATAACAAGGAGATTTGTAGTTTGATCCAAGGGGAATGCCATGACACAAAAGGCACTTTGGTTGGCAAAAGACTTTAGCCAACCTCATGATGTCGTATACCTGGCCCGACATGAAAGCGGACTGCATACAGTATGTACGCTGTTGTAAAGTATGACAGTGCAATAAGTCAACGACTAGAGCACCGTTAGGTCTTCTCAGACCTTTGCCTATCCCATCAGGGCCCAGAGAGTCAGTCTCCATCGACTTTATGGATACATGGGTCAGGAGTAGGCATGGTAAAAGTCAAGTGTGGTTATAATAGATCATTTTAGTAAGTATGCGTTTTTTGTTCCGTTACCCTCAGAGGCACGTACGGACTTAGTGATAGAAAAGTTCTTCGATTTCTGGGTAAGTGAGCATGGTATACCGCTGTCCATAGTTAGCGATAGAGACACGCAGTTTACTAGTCAGAACTGGCAGAATCTTATGCGAGTATATGGGTCTAAGCTATTGATGTCGTCAGGCCGTCATCCAGAGACGAACGGTCAGACAAAGCAAATGAATAAGATCTTGCAGCAACTACTCATAATGTATATTAGACCAGACCAAGTGAAGTGGGATGAGATGCTCCCGAAGGTAACTAGTGCGTATAATAACAGTATTCATCTAGCTACTTGTCGGACTCCTAACGAGCTATATAAGTCCTTTAGACCGCAAAGACCATTTGAAGGACTGAACCGGGATCAGATTCAGAGACTAGCCCCCAGTACAAGGGAGTTCGCTTTGCAACACAAGAAAGAGGTTGCCAAAGTTGTCAAAACCTTAGAAAAGCCCAACTTCGCATGATTGAGCAAGTGAACAAACATCGTCGACTCTCAGAGTTTCAGGTAGGCAACCTAGTTTGGGTCAAGTCTAAGGAATTCGCACCTGAAGAGAACGTCTCTCAAAAACTCTTACCAGCGTATAGAGGACCGTGGCCTGTCCTAGAAGTCAAAGGAGGAGAGGACGGACCATCATATACGATAGAGATACCACCGCACCTCCACACATACCCAGTCTTCCACGCGTCAAAGTTATTGCCATGCACCACCAGCGACCAGTTTCCCTCGCGAAGATCTATGATTCCACCTGACATGGATGGTGCGTACAATATAGACCGCATAGTGGAAGACGGCGTTTTCCGAATTGGAGGACGAGGTCATCCCCCAAAATGGTATAAAGTAAGGTTTGCTTATCAGGAACCCGAGGATGACAGGTGGTTCACACGAACTGAGCTCCTAGAAACTGCTCCCGATGTAGTACACGCCTACGAGAGGGCAAGGAAAGCTAAAGGTCCTACCTTGGGTTAGAGAGTTCTCGGAGGACCTCGAATTTAGGATGGCGGGAGTGAAACGGTTTCACCCAGTTTACCTGACTGATGCAAACCGTAGGACGCGATCCCTAGACCTATACCTTGACCCTGTGCATTGACCCTGTGACCCTATCTGAGATTTGAACCTGTGACCTGTCCCTAATCCCGTAGGTTAGTTAGTAGTTAGTATGTTAGTCTGTTGTAGGCCTTGATCCCTAGGTCTTCGTGTTAGCGGTTAGGTACGTAACCGTTAGGTCTAGTTAGGGTCTTCTGGAAGTCTCTACTCCTAGGACCTAGAAGGCCGTAGGCCCCACTGGTCGTGAGTGAGTCAGCAAGGTGGAAGTCCACCTTGCCCAGTCAGCAAGTACCAAGGAGTCCCACGCGGTTTGGGTAGAGTGTTCCACGCGGTTTTCCAACGCTGTTTGGGTCCTTGGGTCCCATGCGGTTTCCCACGCGGTTTGGGTCCCTGGATCCCACGCGGTTTAGGGCCCCCAGGCCTACGCGTTTTGGCCCAAAGGTGGGACAGACCAGACCACCTGCAGCCAACTATAAATAAAGAGGCAGCGTCCAGTCATTCATTCATTCACCTGGGAGCCAAGCAGAAGCGCGGCTACAGCGACTTGTGTGGAAGGTCTGCAGGTGCCCGAAGGAGAAGCGGGCTGAGGGAGACGACAGCAGCCATAACTAGGAGGAGGAAGACGACGGCGGCCATAGCCACCCAGCTGCTGACGTTGACAGAGTGTACAGTGTGCGTATGTGTGTGCAATGTGGACATTCAGGGTGGATCCTCGGACGTGCGTACATGAGTGAGAGTGAGGCTGGTGGTGGAGACTGTGTTCGGCGGCCATAGCTGCAAGTCGTACAGTTGACTTAAGCTGAGTTTCTGGCCAGAGGCCATATCTCTGAGTTTTCTGTGTGGGTGAAAGTCGCCAGTGCAAGTTCATTGTTGATTCTGAGTTGAAGAAGTTAGTTTGCCATTGGTACATACATGTATGCATGTTGCAAGAGAGTTTGGAGTGCAGTATGAATAGTAAAACTTTGTGAAATACCCCACTCGCCAATTGGACATGTCATCTTATGCATATACCCCCACCGGGCCCTGGGCACCTTGTCTATATACCCCAGTATTTTAGGCCTTTGAACCCTGCAGATTGCAAAAGAAATGCACGGCCCCCTGCAGCCCAGGGCCAGGGCATATGGCGAGGTTGCCAATGAGCGTGACAGGGGAAAAGCAGAAGTTTGGGGCATTTCAGCATACCCAAACTGTGTTTTAGGGATATCTAACGAAATACCCAAACTTTTAGGGGTAGTTCAACAATTTTCCCTAAGAACTTTAGAAAATAGAATTAAAAATTAAAAATTGTCTTTCTACTTTATTTTTTTATTCGTTTCTGGCCCGGCCGGGCAAGTGGTCGCGGGCCACTCTGGTAACCATGAGTGTGAAGTACTGCGAACTAAAAAATAATGCAAGTCTCGCTCTTCAAGCCTTTGGATGCTAATTCCGGGATATCATTAATTGATCTTCCAGACTTCCACCAGTTGACAAAACTCCATTCTCTGCATCCGGTAGTGGCTACACATCATCATTGCATCAGCTCAACAATCCCACGATTCTTTTTCACTCTCTCCAAGGTACTCGTTCAACGACACTCAGGGTGGTTGATCATTAAACACTGCCCGTTCACTGGTCGTTGATATTAATTCCGTAATAGTCCTCCATTATGCACCATCCTGAACAAGCCAGCATTTGTTCATGACAAGCACACTTAAGAAACTTGTTCACTGGTTATCCAACATGAATTCAGCTGTGCCTATTCACCAGTCATTGACACTTGTAGCAGTCCTGCACCTTTAACTGGTCAACTCTGTGCAGCTCCATGTAGCCACAACACATCCACAAGGAGTCACAAGACAGGGAGTAGCTGACAAGATGTGGTCATTGCCGTTCAACAATTACAGAGTGGGGTAGTAGTGGCTACTTGTGGTCAACTCTGAACAACGTTGTGATATAAATTCTGGTACTGTAATAGTGGCATGCTGCGTGAAGAACTTACCGAATGATTGAAAAGGCTTCCAACAGGTATGAGGCAGGCCTTGACTTGCCCGTCAGGAAAATGAACTTTTATCTCATGCAAGTACCACAGCTCTGCTGCCCAGAGAAAGTTTTCCCACGTAAACAAATCTTGTGGGAAAACTTCAGCGAATGTTGCACTCAGTACTGGGAATAGCCGGTTGTAGCGTTTACGCACCAGCTAGAAAAATACAACAAAACAAGCAATGTGTAAACTAATTTAAAAAAATAACATCTGATGCAAGTAGAAGCCAAACGTTGACCAGTCAAACATAAAACATATCAACGTATGAATAAGTTGCGTTAGTCAAACATCAACCAAACGAATAACAAATTGAGTAATGAACAAGTCAATCCATACTTTTTCCCCTCCATCCATCAATCCATTCCCACGCCCATCCATCCATTGGACCGTCCATCCCTCGGACCTCTACCCCTCCAACCCATCCACCCTCGTAATTATCCATTCACTCATCGTCTGCCTGCCCATCCATCCATCACCCCATCTATTGGTCCATTCACCCATCCATACATCCATCCATCAATCCACCATCCCATCCATTCCTCAATCAATACACCTGCCTATCCACCCATCCATCAATCCACCTGCGCATCCGTCCACCCCTCCATCCATTCACTGCCCATCCATCCATCCATCCGTCCATCTGTCCACCCCTCCATCCATTCACTGCCCATCCATCCATCGTCCCATCTATTGGCACATACATCCCTACATCCCTCCGTCCGTGCGTCCCACCCTCCCTCCCTCCCTCCATCCGTCCCTCCCTCCCTCCCTCTGTAGCATCCTAGAGGCTCCTACACCAGGCATTCAGGCCCGACATATTCCTCCTCGGCCCCAGTCCACGCAGTCCCTTTGACTAGGCGACTTGGTGGGCGATGGCCACGTATCAGGCCTGGGCTCATCTTTGAAATGAGCTAAGTACTCGTCAAGTTCAACCGCACATACATCAATAAACATTCACATGAGAGTTCACATGTGAGAAGCCAAATCGAGATACAATCAACACTTGAAGATGTCGTCTCCAGTATTATTATCAATATACCACGAATGTTTGTCTCCAGCGGCTCTGCCGAGCACACACACAAACAACGGATCTTAACCAGATAGCGGTTATGGCTTCTCCCCTTTCTCTCTCTCTCTGACTTGACTCGCTCTGCCTCACTCTCTCTCTTCTCTCTCTCTCTCTCTCTCTCCTCTCTCTCTCTCACTCTCTCTCTTCTCTCTCTCTCTCTCTCTCTCTCTCTCTCTCTCTCTCTCTCTCTCTCTCTCTCTCTCTCTCTCTCTCTCTCTCTCTCTCTCTCTCTCTCTCTCTCTCTCTCTCTCTCTCTCTCTCTCTCTCTACCCTGGATCGTTATCCTGGATACACCCACTCAGGTAGCTTACACCTTGACAGCTATGGCCGCCGTCCTACTGCTCTACCGCTAGCCTAGCTATGGAGTACATCCCGAGCGCCCTCTTCTTCTTCGGGCGCACAGTGCCCAAGTCGCCTTAACGCACAAGCAGCAGCAGCGCTTCCACACCTCGCAACTGAACAAGCGATGAGCCGCTGCACTGTAGCAGCTAAATATAGAACTTGGCTTGGCTTGGCTTGGCTTGGCCTGCTTCAGACCGGTAGCGGTCGGCCGCGGCCTGTCTGCTGCAAACATTTTGTCGGTCTGGTAGCTTCCGGACTTTCCTGGGACATGCTGCAAGATTGGACTTGGCCCTGTCGGACTGGACTGGACACTTGTGGACTTTTCTTGTTGGGTACCGGACGGACTCCTACCGACCTACGATGCTTCGGTACCGACACCTACCGCCCTACGACGCTTCAACCTCTAGACCCTACGGCCTACCCTACGGGACGACCCTGGGACTTGGGACCTGTCGGGACCCTGGGACTGGGACTGGGTGTCTGCAGCGTGAATGGCAGAGGTAAGCTATCATCCTAAGGTTATGGGTCTATGCCTACCTATCTCTGCTCTGTCCGGGGAGGCCCAAGCCAGTACTCTTTGGTAGTGAACCCGAAGCATACCCTCAGGAGGCCACGGGGATCGAAGGGACGGCATTGGGTATCGAACCCATGACCTCCTGAGTGCAACTTACGTGCTCAACCAACTGAGCTAGCCCGCTTGTCTGTCCCAGATATGTCATTTCGGACTCTGCGTTTGTCCGAACAGGCAAGGTGCCTGTTCGGACCAGTGGATTTCAGTTTCTTCCGTAGTAGGCCAGGTTCAGATCTGCGTCTGGAACTGGAACAGGTGTTTGTGTGTTCGTGCCTGGCCCAGTCCCCAGTACCCTACTCCTTCAGCAGGGTTGCCCGGACATCTGGTAGGGACTCAGGCAGACCGTTTTAGGCCAGGACTGCAGACTAGGACTTGAGCCTGTGATCAGGACCGCCAATCAGACATCAGATCAGGCATCCCTGATCACAGATGGTTGGCCATCCAGCCAGGCCCAGCAGTAAATAGCTGGACCTGTCGTTCTGGTGAGGACATTCAGCCGGAACACACTATCAGGTGTCACGCTGCCGGAGAAAAGGTGGTCAGTTGGAGTTCAGCTATGATAGAGTAGCCGCCGAGGAGTAGGGGGGGAGTAGTGATAACGCGGAGGCTGGGGAGCCTCGGCCGCGAGGGAGGTGGGTACTTACCTGGGCGCCATAGCTGTCTTATTCGGCGACCTGCATCATGGACACCACCACCTCTGGTGAGTATCCAGGGACATCATTGGCATCAGGTGAGAGGGAGAGCGAGGGGAGTTCATCTGCTTCTCTCTTCCCTGATTGTTCTCCGGCCCTCCATATCACTATCTTCTTCTTCTTCTTCCTCTTCTTGTCATTATTATTATTATATTATATTATATTATTATTATTATTATTATTATTGTGTGTGTGTGTGTGTGTGTGTGTGTGTGTGTGTGTGTGTGTGTGTGTGTGTGTGTGTGTGTGTGTGTG